CCGGGCTGGGGATTCGAACCTGCCACCTTAGGTGTATGTGGCTGGCGCCTTAGCCGATTGAGCCACAGGCACCAAGCCGAAACTTGAAATTTAGACATGAGTAACTTTGATGTAACTTTTATTTTTCTTATTTGTATCATTTTAGGCAAAATGTTTCATGGATTTCAAAGCTGGAGGCACCTTGTGTCACATTCTTGGAGCTGCTTACAAGTATAAAAATGAGCAGGGATGGTAAGTTTTTTCTATTTATTTCCATGATTTGATGTGATGTTTAAGTTATTTACTTTAAAATCCTTTTTTGTGTGTGATGTTAGAGAATTCTCTGAGCGCATTATGAGTTAAGAATAAAGTAGGTTGTGTTTTATCAAGAGCAATTTACTTTGTTCCTGTATCTAAGAAAAATATTTAAATACAGTATTTATTAGGCAGATTATTTCTTATGTATGATTACATATTATAATAGGTATATAATATCAAGTTAGAAGGTAGAGTCACCATTAAATATAAAAATATATAGTGAACTTGTGATTTGCATCATATACAAGGTCTGATAGTTAAGTTTGTAAACTCATCTTAGAAAAAGTTCTACATACCTCATTGCTGAATATCACCATGGTCATCTTCAAAATACTCCTTGTGGGAAGCTCCTAACTCCTTTTTTTTTTTAAAAAGAGACAGAGTCTCTGTTACCCTCAGTAGAGTGCTGTAGTGTCACAGCTCACAGCAATTTCCAGCTCTTGGGCTTAGGCAATTCTCTTGCCTCAGCGTCCCGAGTAGCTGGGACTACAGGCACCTACCACAAGGCCTGGCTAATTTTTGTTTCAGTTTGGCCCGGGCCTGGTTGGAACCCGCCACCCTCAGTATATGGATCCAGAGCCCTACTCACTGAGCCATAGGCGCCACCTGGGAAGCTCTTAACTCTTAACTAACAACAGCTTTTAACTAGTACACCTTTCAAAGTAGTTTTGAAATTCTTTCTGGAATGTCCATCACAGCTGTTATTGTATTACCATGGATGTCCTGAGTGTCATCAAAATGTCTTCCTTTTAATATTTCCCTTATCTTTGGATAACAAAAAAAATCACTGAGGGCCAAATCAGGTGAGTAGGGAAGGTGTTCTGATACAATCATTTGTTTACTGGCTAAAAACTCCCTCATAGACAGTGCTCTGTGAGTTGACACATCGTTGTGACACAAGAGCCATGAGTTGTTGGTCAGAAGATTAGATCACTTCATCTAACATTTTTCACACAGCCTTTTCAGCATTTCAAGGTAATAAACTTGGTGAATTCTGTCCAAATTACTCCTTTTGGACTCATTCATTAGCCTCTTTTTACAAATTCATGGCTCGGCGCCTATAGCTCAATCGGCTAAGG